TTTCAAAATTATTTTTTCTACACACTCGTTTTCAAAAATTCACGATTCAAAATAATATATTTTTTTTTCAAAAAATAAAAAAAAAAGTGATTGCCAAACAGGGACTAAAAGAAATATCTTTCTAGTGCTTGCATTGAACATTATTTGATATAATATTACTTATTTAAATGTGTATAAAATAAAAATTCAGTAGAAAATTTACTAGCATAAGTTCGAGTAAATGGATTGGTTATTATTGAATATTACTGATTACGCTATAACGGAATTGTGTCAACTTCAAAACTTATTTTTGATGATATTGTTGTTGTTGGTGTTGTTTACTTCTTTGCAATTTTATTTAAATATTATAGATTCTTGAGCTTTTACCCTAAAAATGTCCCACTTGAACACATCAATATCGAAATTTGACTACTCGTTGAATAGACAACCAACAGATTGCTCGTATATTTTTGTTTCTTCTCTCTAATTTCTTCCAATTCAATCAAATTATGAAAGACATTAAATTACTGATGCAACCTTACATCATACACGTCTCTCTCTCTCTCTCTCTCTCTCTTAACAAGTCGTTAAAATTGAAAGCCGACGCATGCCTTACACACCTTCCTTTGTGAATGAAACGCATAAAGTTAGTAAAAGAAANTATTTGATATAATATTACTTATTTAAATGTGCATAAAATAAAAATTCAGTAGAAAATTTACTAGCATAAGTTTGAGTAAATGGATTGGTTACGGAATTGTGTCAACTTCAAAACTTATTTTTGATGTTGTTGTTGTTGTTCACTTCTTTGCAATTTTATTTAAATATTATAGATTCTTGAGCTTTTACCCTGAAAATGTCCCAATAAGATGATGGTCACTTGGACACATCAATATCGAAATTTGACTACTCGTTGAATCAGACAACCAACAGATTGCTCATATATTTTTGTTTTTTCTCTCTAATTTCATCCAATTCAATTAAATTATGAAAGGCATTAAATTACTGATGAACAACCTTACATCATACATTTCTCTCTCTCTCTCTCTCTCTCTCTTAACAAGTCGTTAAAATTGAAAGCCGACGCATGCCTTACACACCTTCCTTTGTGAATGAAACGCATAAAGTTAGTAAAAGAAATCGTTAATTGTTCTTATAGTGAATGTAAATAGAGTTCTACATTTGAAACTCGACACCTAGGATCGAGGTGGGATGAAAAGTTTTAATGTGTTAAGGCTGAAAGTATAGTCACGCGACTCATGAACATTTTTTTTGTTCTTTTCAAAAAATGAACTAAAATATTTAGTCGCGTCACATTACTAGCCGCGTTTGGCTTCACACGTTTTTGCATAAGTCAAACATTTTAATTCAACTTACTTCAATTTTTTATCCATTTCAATGAAGTTGATAATAAAACTTTGAATTCACAATTTCACATACCTTTTGTTGATAATGAAGTTAGACTCCAGCTAATACGTTTGATAAAGTTCGTTCGAAAATTAAATTTTATTTTTTTTTCAAATCATTTTTAACTGCACATTCTTTAAATAAAATAAATTTACACGCTGATCCATAATATTACAATTTTTCGACTCCCATTAAAGGAAATAGTTGATTCTTTTCTACTATAATTCCAATTTCACCAAATTAATGATATCAAATTGATATATTCATTTCAATTTTAAGAAAGTACATCATGAAATATCATAATCAATGAAAGATAATGATTATATATATATATTTTTTGTTAATATTATATCTTTAAAGATTTTCAACAGGGAAATTGATATTTTATCCATCATTAATTATGATACATTAATCATATCTCTTCCCTTGAACAAACGACTTCAATTGACTCCTAAATATTGTCTTATTTACTTACCAATTAAGCAAATCGTTTGAATTGTTTCCTTTCTTCATGCATATGATTATTCATTATACTTGGTAAAATAAAAAAATCATCGAAATCGAAAAGAATAATGATATTCAGTATCAATGGTATTAGAATACCAGTTATGTAATAAGTTCAATTAAAAGTGAAATTATACGATTCATTTAATCGAACTTGTAATTTAACGTTGCTTACGATACCACTTAGACCAACATTAAAGACTACTGGTACTAATAGTATTACTCAGTTGAAAAATCATCAAATCTATTCATTTTAATTAAAGAAATAAAAAAAAACATTAGAATGGTTTCCTAGGTGGGCGACGGCTAGGATTTGCAGTTCAAGGGAGCACCGTAGTCCGAGTAACACCTAATAATTATCCCGCTAATTAAAGATTCCCTACTCCGAATTTCGATGCATAGAGCGACACAACGTGTAATAAACCGTATTAGACTCAATTATAGAGAGAGAAAAAGAGTAAACCACCCATTCGTATACGGATACACCAAGAAAGCAGAGAGGAGTGGGAAATTCACGCCAAATTGTGTCGTTTCCTTGGTCTGTTTGTACGGAATGAGATTGGTTGGACGCACTGGAGTCGGGGAATGTAGCGCCACCACCACCACCACCGAAACCGGCGACGACGGCGCCGGTGGTGGTGCGGTGGTGGTTGTCGGAGTGAAGTTGGATGCACGGAGCAGGGAGTTGCTGACGTGGGCGTTGGTGAAAGTGGCGCAATCTGGGGATCGTGTCATTGCTATGCACATCCTTGATCCTGGCACCGGTATCCATCCATTCATCCATCTCTCTGACTCTCAAACCCACTAAGACACACACACGTTCGCACAGTTTTTCCACTCCGGGAAAAATGCCATCTCTAGACTCTAGTCAAACTAGCTTGGTTTGTTACACTGTTAGCTGTGTACTCGATGAAAGCTCGTGTGGTGCCTCGCACTATGCTTGAATTGTGTTAAGGAATAGGATTTTTGTAAATTTTGTGAAATTTGAGCTTCTACTGTTTTTTTTTCTTTTTTTGCTCTCATAGCGCGACTCACAGTCGGAATGTGTAGACTGCAAATTTGATATTTGGTTTCTGGGATCTGATTAATTGTTTAGTTCTTGATTCTTCTTCTTCTTCTTTTTTTTTGGTGTGTGAAGAAGGTAAAGCGAGTTTGCTTTCGCTAGTGAAGACTTTCGATTCAGTTCTGGCTGCTTATGAAGGCTTCTGTAACCTGAAACAGGTCTGTTTAAAATTCTCTCATGATTTTATATCTACTTAGTTGGGAATGAAATTCGATTCTACCTCTGAATCTACATCAATTATAATTTACACGGGTCCAGGTATTTTCTAAATTGTTATCAGAGTTTACTGTTGTCTTTTCTCTCCAATTACTTGGGTTCTAGCTCTAAATTTAGATCAATTTTTATTTACACGGTATAAGTATTTCTAAACTGTTATCTGAGTTTTACTCGTCTCTTCACTCTAATTTCTTCATACCTTGCATGATTGCATACAAATTCATTTGAAGCAGTTTTGTCAACTTTTTCAACGTTTTTCAAAGAAAGGCATGCTAAATTCCATGAATTTATCAGGTGGATCTGAAGCTTAAGGTCTGTAGAGGATCACCAGTTCGTAAAGTCCTAGCTCAGGAAGCAAAATCATGTGGAGCAACTTGTTTAATTGTCGGATCTTCTGTAGCGCATCACACAATTCGATCCAGGACATCAGTCGCGAAGTATTGCGCAAAGAATCTCCAAAAAAACATCTCAGTTATCTCTGTTAACAATGGCAAGATCATGTTCCAAAGAGAAGCAACAGCTTTGGCAGGCCCAGAGACAAAATCTAAGCAGAGGAAAATTATGGGAAGAAGTCCTCTGAGTTTGCCACCAGAGAGAGTTTTGTCATCATCTAGTAGTGAAAATGAGCACAATTCCATGGCGTTGGTTCCCATCAAGACTCAGGAAATGCCTGAGTCAAGGTCTGGATGGACACTCCTCCGAAGGGTCTTTTTCCATAATGGAAAAGTACCTGAAACTCCTTCTCCTAAGAAGTCATCTTTAATGCAATGGATGTTGAAATTACCAAGCCGTCAATCTGTGACCGCTATTTATCCTGATCAAAAACATATTAATGCATCAAATAAGGATGAGTTTCATTGTACAGATTTGGACACAGAAAAGGGTGCAATTATACCGTATCTGGGCGGCACTACTTCTGTATCTGATTTTTCTAAAACCATTTCTAGAGAACTTGAGGGTCTTAGGCAGAAGTACTCGTCAACATGCAGAATATTTAGCTACCAAGAACTTCTGTTAGCAACAAACAGTTTCACTGCTGGTAGTTTTCTATCTTGAATGCTGTCTTTTGCAAAAAATAAATTACTGTTGTCCTTTTGCGTTTCCTACACTGACTGTTAACTATATTATCAGAAAATTTGATTGGGAAAGGGGGGAGCAGTCGAGTTTATAGAGGATGTCTACCAGAAGGCGAGGAACTGGCTGTGAAAATTCTTAAACCGTCGGAGGATGTGTTGGAGCACTTCGTTTCTGAAATTGAAATCATCACATCTTTGCATCACGGCAATATAATTTCATTGGTTGGCATCTGTTTTGAGGAAAACAATCTACTTTTGGTTTATAATCTTTTATCCAGAGGAAGCCTAGAAGACAATCTCCATGGTATATTAGAAATGCTTCTTCCTTCTTTCCTGAGGAATCAACTTCCATGATGTTTTAAAATTGGTGTTGATGAATAACCGCTTTCTGAATTAGGTCCTAAGAAAACTGGGAATTCATTTTGTTGGGAAGATAGATATAAAGTCGCTCTGGGCGTGGCTGAGGCACTGGACCATATACATAATGCAGCAGTTGAACCCGTCATTCACAGGGATGTGAAATCTTCAAATATCCTTCTTTCAGATGACTTTGAGCCTCAGGTGACGCTTACTTTTCATGGATTTCAGTATTTGTCAGATATTACTTGTACTAACACCCATATTGGCCTTTGCAGCTTTCAGATTTTGGGCTTGCTACTTGGGCTTCAAGTTCTTCGCATCATATGGATACCACTGATGTTGCTGGAACATTTGGGTGAGTTTTGTGTTTTTTCTTTAGTTATAAATCGTTTAAATTCAGTAGATAACATTTTTTTCCTGTGGCAGCTACTTGGCTCCGGAATACTTTATGCATGGCAAATTGAATGAAAATATCGATGTATATGCATTTGGTGTTGTACTCCTTGAGCTTTTGTCTGGTAGAAAGCCCATAGATAATGATCTTCCAAAGGGTGAAGAAAGCTTGGTAATGTGGGTATGTATCTGTTTCTACGTGCGCAAGTTTTCATTTGGTTTTACCTGTTTCCCATGACTTCTGAAAATCTGCACATTTAAGCTATATTTATGTCATCGAACTCTTCGGAATGGTTTTAGAACTCATTAATCTCAAGTGGTTTCAGATACCTATACATTTCCTTAAGATGTTATTTTTGTTTATGATTGATTTGGGCATTGCTTCAATTAAAATGTCATCAAGACGTTTGTGCTGCTGAGGATTTCTCTCTTAAACAATTTGTTTGTTTAAAGTTAAACTGCTGATATTTTTTCCAGGCAAATCGCGTTATGAAAGATGGGAAAATTTCCCAGTTGCTAGATCCTAACCTCACTAATGCTTATGACTACAATCAATTTGAGAAAATGGTCTTGGCTGCTATCCTTTGCATCAGACGTGCACCTCAATCTCGTCCTCAAATTAGCCTCGTAAGCCATATAATTTAACCTAGTTCTAATAGTGTCAATATGTCATCTCGATAGCATTTTAATTGTTGCTGCTAACTCGTAACAGATCCTCAAACTCCTTCAAGGTGATCCGGAAGTTCTTGATTGGGCAACTGAGCAGGTCAATGCTTTGGAAGAAGTAGATATTGTCGATGCTGAGCAGTCAGGGACGAACCTCCAATCTTTTATTAATCTTGCATTGCTTAATTTGGAGGAAGGCTCCGGTTCTAGCAGCAGCACCGAGCAAAACATCTTGG